CTAGTAGTACTACTACTACTACTACTAGGGAACGGTCTGGTTAGGGACCCGTGGAGTGGAATACAAGAAAACGAGGGACGAAGAGAGGAACAACAAGAGATATACCATAAAACAAACAAGGAAATGAATGCAGAAATATATATACATAAAGGAAATAATATAGAAAGGCAACATTTATGCTTCTGCCGCGCCCCTCGCAGCAGATCACAGACAGGAGTCTTCCTAATGCAAACGAGCGCGCACGCCGCGCAGCAAGCAAGTCAGCGCTGCCGCTCGCACCTCAGAACATCTTCTTCACGTGCGCCCCCAGCGACTTGAACCCGTCGGCGTTGCGGAGTTCAGCCGGTATGCCCAGCTCCACACGTAGTCTGCGATGAGCGGGTGCATCTCGTGGTCCTTCTTCGTGTTCAGCTCGCTCGGGACGAACTTGTTCAGCACCTTCCAGGTGGAGTCGATCGCCTGCGTGCCGGACAGAGAAGACCCACCCTTGATGGCGGGCTTGATGCGCCGCACGAACTCCATGTTCTTGTGCGCCACGGACCTGTGCTTCACGCGCTTGGTCTTCCCCAGCGCCGACTTGATGCCGAGGGCGCCGTCCGAGTGGACGACGGTGCTGCCCTTCTTGGCGCGCTTCAGCAAGCCACTCTGAATCACCTCCGCCTCGCTCTCGGGCGGCGGCCTCGACTTCGGCGGCAGGCAGACGGGCGGCAACATGTGGATGAACAAGCGACCGCCGCCCCTCTTCCGCAGGCCCAGGACGCGGATGTACGTCAGGAAGTACTTGTGCTTGCTCTTGAGCAATTTCTTGCTGCAGTACTTGTGGAACTTGGCGTTCCGCGGCGACACGTGGAAAGAGCGGAGGCCGTGGCCGTCGAGCTCCAGGTCGCCGTTCACCTGCCCCCTGCAATTACGAACCCTGTGAGGGTCCAAAAAAAAAAGCCTATTGGGTTCACGAACCCTGTGAGGGTTCCAAAAAAACAAAAACAAAAAAAAACATACAAAACATTTAAAAAAATCGAATAAAACTTGTGAGGGTTCCAAAAAATCTAAAAATCAATTGTTTTCGTGTCTTCGGGCTTCCTCCGGCTTCCCCGCCAGCCGTCCCAGGCAGCCTGAACACCACAGAACCATTGATTTTTGGATTTTTTGGAACCCTCACATGTTTTATTGTATTTTTATTTGGATTTTTAAGATTTTTTGGAACCCTCACAGGGTTCGTGGACTCAAGAGGTTTTTTTTTAGAACCTTCACACGGATCGTGGACTCAAGAGGCTTTTTTTTAGGACTCTCACAGGGATCGTGGATTCGGAGTTCCTCCGCCTCCCCCCCAATCCGTCCAGGCAGCCTGAAGACCAGAAAACCATTGAATTTTGGATTTTTTGGAACGCTCACAGGTTTTATTTGATTTTTGTTTTTTTTGATTTTTTTAGATTTTGTTGGAACCCTCACAGGGTTCGTGGACTCAAGAGGTTTTTTTTAGAACTTTCACAGGGATCGTAGACTCAAGAGGTTTTTTTTTAGGACTCTCACAGGGATCGTGGATTCGGAGTTCTTCCGCCTCCCCCCCAGTCCGTCCAGGCAGCCTGAAGACCCGAAAACCATTGAATTTTGGATTTGTTGGAACCCTCGCAGGTTTTATTGGATTTTTTCTTAAAGATTTTTTTTGATTTTTTGGAACCCTCACAGGGTTCGTGGACTCAAGAGGTTTTTTTTTTAAAAAAAAAAGAACCCTCACAGGGATCTTGGATTCGGAGTTCCTCCGCCTCCCCCCCCGTCCCGCCCCAGACTCGCAGTGTTTGATTATGTGCTTTTCGTATTGTTTTTGGTTGTGTTGGTTTCTTATTGTTTTTGATTGTGATGGTTTCTTATTGCTTTTGATTGGAAGCGTTCTTGCAACCATACCGCATCTACATTTACATCAAAATCGATATCAAAACTTATACCGAAAAACCCACGGGGCCCTAAACAGACCGTTGGGTATTACTACTAATACTATTACTACTACTACTACTACTACTACTACTACTACTACTACTACTACTACTACTACTACTACTACTACTACTACTACTACTACTACTACTACTACTACTACTACTACTACTACTACTACTACTACTACTACTACTACTACTACTACTACTACTACTACTACTACTACTACTACTACTACTACTACTACTACTACTACTACTACTACTACTACTACGACTACGACTCTTACTACTCCTACGACTGCTACGGCCACTACTACCACCATATTTTCGGTGAGGAAATCCACACTCGCGCATAGGAGAAGCACATTTTCGCAATGGAGAAATACACGCTCGCCAAGGAGAAGCACAGCGACGCTAAGGATGACACGCTGTCGCTAGGAAAACCACACCTGCGCGCAGCAAAACAAATTTCTTCGCAGGGAATTGTCATTTTCGTTGGGGGAAACCACACGTTCGTTCAGGAAAAGTACGCATCTGCTTATAAAAACCACACGTTCGGTAGAGAAAAACATAGTTGTCCGAGTGGCGTCTTGAGTTCCAGGTAGGAGAAGCGCCATGCTTCTGAGGAGAAATTAGGCCGTGGCGGCACAGGATCGCTTGGGCCTCAGTAAGGGGGGCCACGGGGACTCGCAGGGGTGACGTTTCCATTGCGTCGGCGTTTGCAAGAGTTTCAGCTCCGGCGTCTTGACTCCCCTACCCGCCTACATGTTCAAAATGTGGCTCTCGCTTGAGCGCCGCTTCGCAACATCTTAGAGGATGAAGGACATGTTCCAAGTGAAGTTCTCGCATAAGTGCTGCGCATATTCTTTGTGAAAGCTGGCAACAATTTCACGTTTTGAGGGCGGGTCGTTCGCAACATATATGGCTCTCATTTTTGTGGTCAAAGTTTCCACCAGGTTCAAGGGTGGACGGCGGCTCCCTTTCAACATGTGGCTCTCGCATCAGCGCCGCGCACATGCTTAGTGAAGTTTGCGGCAGTGTGTAAGATGCAGGGCGGCTCCTATTCAACATGGGGCTTTCGCTTCGGCGCCGCGCACATGTGTTTTCAAAGCTTGCGACCGTTTCAAGAGCTCGTATGGCTGACGCCACAGGGATGATGTCTTGGCACGGTTCAAGACTGTCAATCACAACAGTCACATCGATTCGCGGTGTTGAAGTCCCAGGAGTTGTTTTCTGTCTGGCACAGTCTAGCATTGTCCGGACGCAGCAGTCACGCTGATTCGTAACATTGTTTTCCCAGATGGTGTTTTGTCACGGTTGAGGATGTTCAAACGGTTTTGTTTCCATGGGACTTCGCCCCGCAATGGAGTCAAGTTGTTGTGAAGGCCCGCGACGAGGAAACGTGGAGGGAGTGTTACATTGTTGATGCACCCTGTGTTTACACTGGTCCTCCTCCTCGGTCCTCGATCCTCGATTTCCTGGTGACCCCCCTCATGGAGGCCCCCCTTGGCACCGCCTCGTCCCAGAGCCATGGCAGCGTGCGCCCCACTCCTCCACGGGCAGCGGGCCTCCCCACACACGGTCGCCCCCTCCCATTGCGCGCCGCGCCGGCGCATCGATCTCTCGGGGGAAATTGGGGGGGAGGGGAGGGGGGGGAGAGCGGGAGGGGGAAGGGCGGGGAGGGGGCGGAAGGAGAACGGGGGAGGAGGGGGAGGGTTTGTGGATCGGACACTTCAGGAGAAGGATCGGCAGGGCAAGGAGGGATGGGAGAGGGGAGGATGCTGGAGGCTGGATTAGCCTGCCTCCGAAAAGGCAGGTCATAGGGACATGGGGGGGAAGGAAGGGAGTAGGGGGAGGAGGGGGGGAGGCACAGGGGGCGGGGGGGACAAGCTACTGTCATGAGATTTGGCTTACTAGCGTGTCGCTCCGCCGTTTCTGGCCTCTGGCCTGCAAAGCTTCGGCGCGACACGCTATCCACTTCCTGGCCGCCCTGCGTCAACGTCGCTAGCTTTCCCAGGCCTCCTGCCCCGTGGAGCGGAGCAACATGCTATCCGCTCGCATGGCATAGCGTGTCGCCAGGGCCGCCGCCGCGACACACTATCCAAAAGTTCCCGACCGTAGGCGTGCCCGCGCCACATGTGACGTCCCCGCCTCTCGTTCCCATCTCTTTCCATTGCGTCGAGCCCCTCTTCGTTCGCAGGGTCGGGCGTCGGGGAACCCCTTAATCCCGAAAGCGCAACCTAATCGAAGAGGATCTCAACCCAACGGGGTCAAGAGCTGGGAGTGGAAGGGAGGAGGAGGAGGAGGAGGAGGAGGAAGAGGGAGGACGAGCGAAGACGGATGAGGGAGGAGGCTAGATGTGGGGCGGCGACGAGGAACGAATGACAGCAGGAGCGAAAACGCGGGCGGTGTCGGACGGAAGCTCGCTGGAGATCATTGGAAGTTGCCACCTCGGAACAGTCGTGCCACTAACATGCTGTATATGAGATAGGATGGGAATGGGTGGAGGCAGGAGCAGAGGATGGAAGAGGGGGACGTGGGGGGAGAGTGGAGGAGGAGGAGCGGGAAAGCGGGAGGAGGGGGGGGCGGGTGAGGAGGGGCAAGTGAGGAGGAGCAGAGGGAGGAGGAGGAGGAGGAGGAGGAGGAGGAGGAGGAGGAGGAGGAGGAAGAAGGGGAGGAGCAGGAGGAGGAGGAGGAGCAGGAGGAGGAGGGGGAGGGGTGAGGACGGGGGCGGAGCAGGAGAGGAGAATGAGGAGGAGGAGGAGGAGGAGGAGGAGGAGGAGGTGGAGGAGGAGGAGGAGGAGGAGGAGGAGCAGGGGGGGGAGTCCCGCCCCACCCAGCACATCCATACCCAGTCCCTCTTCCTCCATCAAACCCTGTCTCTTTATCGCAATGTGTTCTCCTTGTCTTTCTTCCCCTCCGGTTCCTTTCCCCACCTTCATCTCCCTCACCCTCATCATAATGTTCCTTGCATCCGTAACCGTTTTTGCTCAAGAGTGCCCCCAGCCGTACATCGATTGTGCAATTGTTTGTTTGTAGAACGCCCATTCGCATCCTCCCGAGATGGCCACCAGCACCCGAGTGGTTGTCCTGTTCCTCTTCCTGCTTGCTGGCGCGGAGGCGGAGCGCATCAATTCCGCCGCGACTTTGGCCACCGCCGCTCGCGCGCAGATCCAGGCGCACGGCTTCAAGGGGCGCTCGTCTGCCGGCGACAAGACCATGGACCTGGACTGGCCCGGCTGCGGCTCCAAGACCGACTGGCTCTTCGGCCCGCGCTGCAGCGACGTCGAGGGCTGCGAGTGGCACAAGCTGTGGCTCGACACGCCGAGGCAGTCGTGCCGCTTCTCGGACGGCTACAAGCTTCGGCCGGAGAACGTCCAGAGGTTCCTCCCCGTGGAGCTCGCGCGCCTCGAGGAGAAGAGCGCCACGTTTGCCAAGAGCGGGTGCCTTTTCGGCGGCTGGTTCGCGAAGTGCTACCGCCGCATGCGGCAGATCATCCGCCTGCTCAAGTACGTGCGCCGTGCCGTGAGCGACGCCAAGAGCGACCCCTCGCACCCGGCTCATGCGCTGGCCGCCAGCGAAGAGACGTCGCAGAAGCTGCTCAGGGCAGCGGACAATCTGGCCGCCGGCTTCAGGAAGCTCCAGGGCACGGACGGTGTTGGCGAGGCCTTTGGCATGATGGCCGAGGGGCCCGAGAGTTTGCGCGCCGCGGCCGCGGCCGTGGAGGGCGCGGAGAACCGCTCGCTGACGGACGAGGAGAAGGTGGCGATGGAGAACACCAGGGCCGTCGAGGGGATGTTGAAGGCGGCCGGCACGAACCTGGACGACGAGCAGCGCGCCGAGCTCTACGCGCAGATCGAGGCCGGCGGGCCCATGGCGGAGAGCGAGGACGAGCTCGACGCAGACGTGGAGGACTTGGTCGTCGAAGAAGAATGGACAGCACAAACATGAACTGTCGGCTGCCAGCGCGGAGTTCTCACATCGGCGCCGGATTTCCCTGGTGGCGCCTCCCGCCCCGCCCGTTGCGCGCTCCGCGCGCCAGGGAGGCTGATCCAGCGCCGATCTAAAACGTCCGCGCGCAGCTCCGACAGTTCATGGAGGGAACGCAAGCATGGATTGAGGCGCGTGGATTAGCGACGGGCCCTGTTTGCGTACGAAAGCGGCGCGCTCCGTCGTGGAATGAGGCGGCATGGCCCTCGTGGTTCTGATCGTACCCTCCCCGATGCCGTGGATCTGGCGCCCACGCGCCAGATCCACTGATCCGTAGTCCGTGTTCGCGTGCGCCCGAGATCTTCTGCGGTCGGGACCTTCTTGGGATCGCGCGTCGCTCCGCCAGCTCTGACCCGGAGCGCCTCGGTGCGACCCGCTGTCCACTTCGCGATGCCGCGGCAGCGGGAGCGACAGGCTGCCCGCTCGCAGGGCCGAGCGCGCCGCCGGGGCCGCCGCGGCGGCACGCGAGGCGCAACGGTCCCGACCGCCGCGTGCGCCCGAGCTCTTCCCGAGGACCTGGTCGGCTCCCTGGACGAGGCCATGGGCGCGTCCGACGACGAGGACCGCAGCAGCCTGCAGGAGCAGGAGGGCCCCACCGCCGAGGAGGACGGCGGCGACGACCCCGAGGACGCTGTGGCGAAGGCCCCGCGGGGGAGGGCCGCCGGCCACCGCTCCGATCCGGGCTGGGCCGATCCTTTGGGGGGCAGCCAGGATCGGGTGGTGCTAGAAGTACCCTTGGCCCAAGGTGCCGCCAGGATTCTCGGGGTGGCCCAGACGGCCTCCAGGGGACCCCTCACGAGGCCTAGAGGGCCCCAGAGGCTCCAAAGTGGAGCGACAAGCCAGGGGCACCTTGGGCCAGGGGCACCTCTAGCAACATCCGACAGCAGTGGGGTGATGGCCAGGGTGGGGGGCATACAGTCAACCCGCATGGTACGGATGGGCAACCTTCCCAAGGGTACACTTGCATCCTTGCCTCCTGGGTCCATCCTTGGCCTCGTTCCTTGGCCGCGCCCCGCTCGAAAGGCTTCGAAGTGGGCGTCCAAGGCCCTTGCATCCTTACCGCGCATCCTCATGCTGCTGGCCGACTGTATCATGCCTGGGACCATGATATCTCCCCAGAGCTCATGGCGCCTTCTCTACGGGGCCAAAGAAGAAGATACACCACGACCACGACCACCCCCCAGGAGAGAGGAGGGGAGGGAGGAGGGCAGAGGAGGGAGGAGCAATCGACGTGTTGGTGGTGTTTACTCTGGGGGCCCGCATTTTCTTGTCTCACAGTACGTCCCCTGGCCCCTCCCCACCCGCGGGCCGCGCGCATACCTCGGGCCATAATTTGAGACCCCTCGGCGCCGCCCTGGCCAAGCCGGGCGGGCGCACGAAGCTGGCACGGGGGTGGAGGACCCCCCCCCTGGCCCTGGAGTGGTGCCCGTTGTGTCCTGCGTGGTTAGGCTCTCCGCCCTGGGATGCTCTTCGCCCCGGGCATCCCCACCTGGGGCCCTGGAGGCCCTCGGCGCAGGGGCTCGTGCTCTCGGCCCGCGCTGTCGTGGGCTTGCTTCGGCTGTGTACAGCGGGGTCGGTGAGGTGGTCCGCGGTCGCCCCCCCGCAAGGCGGCAGACGCTGGGGCCCTGGTGCAGCTCGGCGCCCAGTCCGGCACGAACTCCACCGCAGCGATGCAGGCCCGCGGGACCGGCCCGCTGAAGTGGCTCTTCAAGCACGGGCTGGGCTGGATCGTGACCCGCATCGCCTGGGTGCTGCTGTTCTTGGTCGGCTCCGCCATCGGCCTGATCCGCGCCGGCGTCATCTTCCCGCTGCTCTTCCTGGGATGCACGCTCACGAAGTTCATCACGTGGGTCTTTCGGGACGTGGGCTACAACCTGCTGTGGGAGGGCGAGATCGACCTAGTGGCGAAGCGGTTCTTGAAGATCGGGAAGTGCCCGGCCTGGGCCTGGGAGGCCGTCGGCTTCGACGCCTCGTCCAAGGACACCGTGAAGCAGATCGTCGTGCAGCCCGCCACCTTCGCTTCGGGCGTGACTGGGGTGCACCACTGGTACAAGAGCGAGGAGGGCCTGTGCGCCAAAGTCAAGTGTGGCTCGCACGCTGCATGCCACAGAGGCGACTGCATCTGCAACAAGGGCTACTACCCGGACGCCAGCTCCCCTGGCCACTGTGTCCAAGGCCTCACGTCAGCGGGATGTCGATGCAAGGCCATGTGGTCGCAGCAGGAGCTGGTCATCTTCAGCAGCCGCCACTACGGCTGCCCTTCGAGCGGGAGATGCGAGGTTGACAGGGCCCACGCTTCGTTCAGCACATGCAGGAGCAACATCGTCTCTGCACCGAAGGGCATCCTCGAGCACGTCGGAAACGCCGTGGGCATCCTGGACTCGGCTGTCTTCGACACCTGCAGGGCGCTGCTTCCATTCCGTGGCATGGTGGTGCCGGTCGCCTCGTAGCGGAGCCTCGGCGCGTTGCGTGGTGATGCCGTGAGCGGAGCCTCGGCGGGGGGCAGGGCACGGGCCTGTCCAGCGTGATGAGTACACGGGATCATCCAGGAGTGCCATGGGATCATCCAGGAGTACTCCTCGTTTGCACCCCTGCCGCCAGAGGCACACGATGCACATCCTGCGCCCTGCGCATGGTGGAATGTAACCTGCGCTGGTTCTCCCACGGGCCCTCCTGAAAGCACTCTGTTGCCAGAATGATTCAAGCCGGGCACTGCTGGACGCAAGTGCAAGCAATATTAAGGGAATGACATAAGCACGGGCGTAGCACATTGTTCGTGATGCCGTTATGCGCAATGCAATACAACGCAATGACATGCAGCGCAAAAATGCGCCAAGCACTGCAACGCATATCACAGCATAGTAATGCACAGCAGAGCGCCGCCTGCCAAGTGATGGCATCGCAGCGTGGCGCGGCATTCAAACAAAGCATAACTTGCTGATATTCCACACGCAGTGCTTGCACTCACTTAGTGCTTCTTGCGTTTGTTTCCCGTGGAATCGGATGGGTCCGCCAGGTTTCGGCTGGTGCACATTTCGTGGGCGCCTGCGGGCGCCACGTGGGTCGTGCTGGGTGGGCCGGGCGAGGCTTCGCCTGGTGCCCGCCCCGTGGGCGCCTCGTGGTCGCCCGATGCGCTGGACTGACCAGCCGAGGCTTCGGCCGGTGCCCAGTCGCAGGGCGCCTCGTGGGCGCCTCGCGGGTCGTGTCGGGCGTGTCGGCCCAGACTTCGCCCGGTGCCCGCGCGTGGGCGCCTCGTGGGCGCCTCGTGGGCGCGGGCGGGTCCGCCGAGGTCTCGCCCAGTGCCCGCCCGTGGCCACCCGTGGGCGCTTTGATGGTCGCCCAGCCAGCATCGCATCGTTGGTGGAGCTGCTGTTGGTATCGTTATGGCGCTCGATGGTCTCGGTTGAGCTGTTGTTGATGTCGTTATGGCGCTCGATGGTCTTGGTGGAGCTGTTGCTGCGTATCGTCAGTCCCATAGCCTGCACCACATATAGCTTGCACCACGCAGGTTGCCCCACACTGCTTGCGCCACTTGAGCATGCCACACCGCGCCTGTTGCACAATCCGACTTCCACCACGCAGCTGGCACCGCACAGCTTACATCACACAGAGCATGCATCACAGCTTGCGCCACCGAGTTGCTGGCTTGCACCGCAAGGCTTGCACCAGCTTGCACCGCATAGCCTGCACCACAGATGTCGCACCACGCACCTTCCACATCCACAGGGCAGCTCACTTGCTGTCCGAGGCCCACCACCCTGGCAAGCACACGCGTCTAGATAGCCCCAACCCCCAACCAGCGCGTGTGCCTGGGATCTCAGACACCTGCGCTGCTGCGTGAGCTGCAGCCTATGCCGAGCTCTCGTCTGGCTGGCGGCCGTGTGCTCCTCGTGGGCTCCCCCGTTGCGCCAGCCGGGTATATGCCCTGCTTCCGGCCGGTGGGCGGCCGCAGGTGCCCCCGTGGGCGCCCGCAGGTGCCGGCCGGGTCTGCCGAGGTTCCACTCGTTGCCCGCCAGTGGGCGCCTCGTCGGCGCCTCGCGTGCTGGGCGGGTCTGCCGGGCTCGCGCCCGGTGGGCGGCCCGTGGGTGCCTCGTCGGCGCTTCGCCCTGTTGGTGCCACACTGTTTGCATTCGCAGGGCCTGCACAGCGCCAGACCTGTACCCTCACACCTGCTCCGCGCACGCATTGCACGACACAGCGATCGCCGCATAGATCACACACCCAGGATGCAATAACCCGCTGTTTGGGGTCTACGCTGGTCAACCCACTTAAACATTTTATGTGTGTGCATGTCTGTCACCGCGTAGCAAGGCGTGGCACGGCGTATCACAGCATGCTTTATCGCAGCATGGCATGGCCGTGCATAGCATAGCGTTGACTCGTATCGCAAGCATCGACTATTTACACCAGCATGGTACCGAAGAGCCGAGCATGACATGGCATTGCTTTATTCAGTTTCGCATGGCATCGCATAGCGCTGCATAGCATGCGATGGCATCGCATAGTACAGCACAGTCTACAGTAGATACGCTAAATCAGAAGCGGGCCTACCAGCAGGGGCCCCACAGGATTTTCTCATGCTCCGATGGCCCTGGAGGGCCACAGAAGTCTAGGGGGCACCTCAGGAAGCTCAAAGCTCGACTGCAAACGTGCCCCCAGATATCGCGTCGCAGGATGTCTTATCGTATCGTCCACAATCGCACACCATCGCACAGCATGGCACGACACAGCATGGCATACACAGCGCGCAGGGTGCGCGAGAAATTAGCGTCCAGGTCACGAGGAGCCGGGCTGTCGAAGGGGGGGGGCGTGGGGTGTCGAAGAGGGGGGTCAGGACGTGTTCGATGGCTGTTGGAGGAAGGTTTCGTCGGTTCTTGGGGGCTCGCCTCGGGATGGTTTCCAGCAGCCGCACCTCGTGGAGAGCTTTCCAGGGATGCCCAGATCGTCCCCGAACGGCCCCTGGACGCCCGAGCTCCTGCCCGAAAGCCGCCAGGCTTCGAAGAGGGGTTCGAAGACTCGGGGTGTGTGTGTGTGGGTATCATGACCAGGGCCATGGAGTCTCCCAGATGCCATTGCCCACTCGTATTCTTTCAGTGCGGTCCCTGCCCCCACCCTCGTCTGGTGCGCTAAGCCTCTCTTCCTGAACCCCCTCTCATCGGCGCACCCGTCACGACAGCAAGCAAGTGCCCTCCAGGCAAGCCTCGCTTATGTAGACAGAGAGAGAGAGAGGGAGAGAGAGAGCGAGACAAATTTGTGACAGGTAGTTCACGTGCCATCCCTCGACTCACCCCTTGGCGTTGCACCGTTTCTTTGCAAGCGGCCGAAGGAGTCGCTGGCATCTTGGAGGGCGCGCGCTTGCACAGCTTCCTCTTCTCTCTCGTTGCGCATCGGATGCATGCACTGACCTTGAACATGGGCAAGCAGCAAGTCAGTTGAAAGGCATTTCCTGTGATGTTCCAGGGCACGTCAAAGTCTTGCCACCAGAGTGTACCAATACAACTGTCATGCTTTAGCGCAGACTTGATATTGTGGGCGTTGCTTAGTCATGCGCAGGCTCCGCCAAAGTGCAATTTCGCAGAAGGCACGATTGGACATGACATGTTGCATGTGTGTTCTGAGTGATGCATTGGGGGTGATGGCTTAAGGCGCATAACGCGCCAAGGCGTTCAACCACAGCAGAAGCAACGCGGCTCTGGCCAGCCCGTCATTCGCAGTGTCCTCTCGCCCCGATGTGTGTAAGCGTGCTTACCGTGCGTGGGTTGCAACCAGCTGCCTGCAGGACATCCGTCCACCGCGCTAGCGTGTCATCATCATCCTCCTATTGCTCCTCCCCCTTTCCCTACTCCCTCTCTTGTTCCGACTCCTCCTCTGACGGTCGGGGGTCTTCGATTGCGGATTGCCCCGAACGGCTCAAAGCAGGCGGCCTATCAGCCCGCGTGTTTCCTTCTCTCCCCCTCCCCCTCCGCATCCACGGGAGGAGTAGTAGCAGCATAGACAGGAAAGTATGGAGAGGCAGGACGAGAAGGAGGAGGAAGAGGAGGAAGGTGGCCAGGTGATGTCAGATGAGCGGAAGAGCAGCAACAGTGGCAGAAGGGTAATCAGGAGCAGGACGAGCAGAAAAAAGGAGGACAAAAAGCAGCGGCAGCAGCAGCAGCAGGAGCAGCCGGGTCGCATGACGCTAAGCAAGGGTAGCATCAGGAGGAACAGTAGGAGCAGCGGAGGGCATTGGGAGGCGGAACGGGAGAGGGGTAAGCTTGTTTAGCAGCGTCGACGCCACATCTGATATACCACCCCCTATCGCCCGTTCCCACTGCGCTGAGCCCATCTCTGTTGGCAGAGTCGAGCGTCGAATCTGGCCCTGATCGGCAGACACATTTGCAATCCCGGGGCGCAGTCACAGGGTGGTCGCTTGGGGGCAGCTACCCCGACCGTTCCTCCCTCCCCTCCTCCCTCATCCTCCTCCCCCTTCTCCTCCCCTTCCTCCTCCCCCCGCTCTCCCTCCCCCCCCTCCGCTGTGGCTGATGGGGGCTGCCTGCCCTCATTGCAGGCTCCCTGGCCCGTCGTCCACGGCAC